GCCGATAAAGAATGGAAATAACCGGATCTTCACATTTTAACACATCAAAGCTCTTATTTTACAAGTTAATGTTTATGTTTTTAAATTACTTGTATTCTCTTAAACTGAATGTAAAGCTAGATCATCTCATAAAGTATTTAAAAAAATAAAGCGTGGAAGAACTTCATTCAGTCTAAGCCGTTGTTCATACTGTGTCAGTTGCTTGATGTACCATTTATTAAAACTATGCACAAACTACTAATGGGTTCAAGAACTTTCAGGTACTCAGGAGGATGATTGAGATAACTTGTCAGTAGTTCCAGGAAGCATAGATTGACTGTTGCTTATTAATTGAAGTTTGCAAAATATGTATATTCATTGTAATGCCATCCAACGAACCAGTTTCTGATAATAAACTCCATTTTAATAAAATGAAGGAATTAATGACAAATTGAATCTTTAGCAGAACCTAAGCTCTATGAAGGTAGAAGATAGGAGGATGTGCGCATATGTGAAGAGCTCATCAAGTTATTCTATACTAATTGAAGCAATTTATGCAGATTGTTTAAGCTTGTGTGTAATCCAGTGAATGCTAACAGAGGATTACTATATTCTAATTTTTACTATTAAAAATGAATTTCCGCCTCTGTTCACCTGATATGGTAAATAGAAGCCTTACAGGGATGATACCAGGAAAATAATATTTAATTTACCACTAGCCATGATATGGCATTGTCTAACTGGAGTGTTACTCACTTCATATTTATCAAAACTGATTACAGAACTGCTACTATAATGGTTGATAAATAATTTAGAAAATAAATAATCATACATGGAGGTATTCAATTAGAATGTATGCATTAAGTGACAATACGGAGTTTATGCTAATAACAGCTGTAGAAGTTGATCATGATCGTTGAGTTCATTCTCGCATCATTTTCTAAGCCAATTTGTTAATAATAATAACAATTTCTTATTACAAGCTACATTCATATTTCCAGTGAACTAAAAATAAGTATGAAATGTGATTCTAAAATCATTTCATATTTAACCAAATAAATGACCTTGATACATTAATTTAACAATCGACAGTTAGTTTATGAAAATGAGTTCGCTTTAACCTGAAGTAAATATTACATGAAAATTTGAAATATTAAGCAAAACCAACCTATGTGGTCCCTAAGTTAGTTCATAAATAATACGTTAGTTACTGAATAAACTTATAAGGTAACATTGCTTTATCTTATTATTACATTTTAATAAGTCCAAAGATGTGCACAATATTGTATTCAATTCTTGAAATTAGATGGTAGAAATCCAAATGAAAAAAATAATAAAACTGATAGACTGCTTCTCATAGCATTATGTTCTGACAGTCAACTTGAAGAAACCGAAAGAGAAGTAGGACAAACCCGTTTTACTTCAAAAATAGCACGACAGATAAAAACATGCATATGTTGTTACTTCTATGCTCAGTTGTGTGAAAAAGGAGATGAGTCACAAACATTTACTGAGGTCTGGCATGCATATCTCAATCATCAACATGCAGTGAATATTTAATAACACAAAGAATTCTCGAAAACATTGGACACGTGTTCCAAGCATATCTTGTTACAAAGACACTTTGATTAGAGTGAATGATTAGGTGATGACATCATGCTATGTCTTTTCCGAATGGACATACTTGTTTGTCATCGTGCCTTAAAAATTTGTCTACGTAACAAATAACTACGGTAATTGTTGTTAGAGCACCAGTGGAAACCTGGAAGTACTGGATGGCCGTTTGGTCCCGGTATGGGGCTCATCAGCAGGGCACGACCCACACTTGCGGTTATCGGACCCAGGACCTTGAACTCTTAACCTCTAGGTGCGCACTGCTTAAGAGCCCAACACCAGGATGAAACAGCCATCCACTGCATCACTGTTTCTAATTGTGGTCTAGAAATGATTGATCCATGGTTTCAATGTAAAACAACAATCTCTATAACTCTATAATAATTAATTTTTATCCATATCATAGCACATTATTCCTTTGAGACTAAAGTGTTAGTAATAAGTGCACAATCATCAAGAAGTAGAGCAAAGTAATCGCACTGAATGGCGATTTCGTGAAAAGATAAAATGTAAGATATGAGGCGAGTTTAATTTTTTCATGCCCTTAATCTCCTATGTAACAAAATGCATATAATCGAAAGCATAAGTTTCTTAGAAGGTAATAAACTAATAATTTATTTTAAGCAAGGTTATATACATGAAAATTCTTTAAAATGGTAAACTTTTCCAGGTCGCTTAATCAAACTCGTTTTCTTACCAGTAAATATCGATGAAAAAACTATCCACATTTATACCATCAACGCAATCAAATGTTACTTAATCTAGAATTTAATTAAATCAAATATTTCATACATCTAATGACACATATTACGGTAGTTTAAGCTTTTGTTTTTACTCTGAACATTTACCTTTGAATTATTATCTTGAATGTTTGAAGGTCTAAGACCATATAAAATGTCAAAAGAATGAGCTACAGATCTTGTGTTTTGAAATTCTTTTTGACTGTTGGACAATATTTTAACCAAACAAATCTAAGATTTGCGACCAAAATAGTTATGAAAAATATTTTTCATAGTGTTCTGTGTGGAAATTTTGTAAAGCGCTGTAGAACAAAATACTTTCAACTGTACTCCATGCTGGGAATGGTTAAGCATTCAGGTTTTTTATTTTTTGACTGCAGGTGCTATAAAAGTAGGATATATAGTCTTTTAGCCATTAGTCTATCAAGCCTTACAAAGAGATTTCCTCGGAAACTTGTACACGTGTTGGCCTTAGTTGACCAGCAATTATCGCTTTATGCAATTCAAATCGGGCCGATAGTTGTACAACTGAAGCTTTAATTCTGTTTTGAGTCTTATTTAACGATGTGCCGACAGAAATGGATGACCACAAATCAACCGATGGCAGAATAAAATATTAAGGGTGTAAAAAAGAGACTGATTTCCTGTCATGAAATACACCAATCTAAGTACCAAATATTTGGCCTTATTCTAACTTAATAAAGAATTACATAATGCATTCGAAAACATTTGGACATGATCGTGAAGTGGATCGTCAAAAGAAAACTTGTGCTATGTATTTGGTAGCAGTTGAAAATTTCAGCAATCAACGAGCGTAGAAAATAAAGTATTGTAGATATTCAACTTTAACAGTACAATTTTTCCAAATAGCCTTTAAATATTTTGTCTTGAATATACCAACAAACACTTTTTTGGCATGCAACAAGTATTTTTTGTTTCAGTTTTAATATTACAAGTCTCATTATCTGAGCCAACTGTAAACGTGAAAGTTAAAGTATAAAAGGTTAGTATTCAAACACACTGATAAGTCCTTCTACATCTTTGCTAGTTGTTTTACATATCCACAGAAAATTAGTATTTCTAATTCCTCCAAGTCATAAGTTATCGTTTATAGATAATTAACTACAATAAAACATGAATACATATTCCTGAGGCGAGAGGTGCTTTTAACCAGAAATGACGTTGGTTTTTAATTTAAGTGTTGACAAGGAAGACCTTTCCCCTAAAAGGCTCATCTGCTTATGATGCGTGATAGACTCTTGATAATAAACGTCGATAAACATTAGGAGTCCTAAAAAGCATGTCATACATTGGGTTAAAATATCAGTTCAGTTTCAAAGGACCCGGATGAAAAATGAAAAATAAACGCACAGAAACTTGACTACCGAAAAGCCTTTCATAAGGTTCTAAAATAAACAAAAAATCATACAAGTTTAGCATGATCTATTAAGCTTTTCATGAAAATAAAAACCACATCGTGGAAGGCGGTTCAAGTCATAAATTTTGAAAAGCCTAAAATACGATCTTGAAAAGTCAAACTATGGATGATTAACTCAAAAGTGCAACGAACAAAAAAGTCTATGAGTAATTATATGTTAAGTCAGGTTATTATTTGTTAAAAAGGTCGTACTAAAACCTTTAAAGACAATCCAATCCATTTAAGCACCAATAAAGTAACTCCATGGACCTTATTTTATTAACTAATCCACACTTCATTTACGGAAACTTAATTATTGGCATACACAGTAGTAAACTGCTTTCTCAAAAATGGATGCACACACAACAAATTTCTTCGCGAAACTCAGTGGATTATACTCCCATGAACTCAAAGAAATTTGAGATGCAAATTACACCAATGAATTTTCCGGGCATATTGGACAGAAAAATGTCTTTAGCATTGTAACCGTAACTTGTCATGGAAGCAAGGTATTTATTTGTCGGAGTATTGTGTTGTAAACAAAGATTATAAACATCTAAAATCTTGTACTAGTATTGTCTACGGTATTAAAATGTAGAAACTATATTTTCCTAACGTGAACCGGCTGATGGTAATTCATTTATCAATGTCAGTGCCCTTGTTGATATTCAACTGGTATTTGTTACAGAACTGACGAGTGTTATTCATGAAGTTATCAATCTTTCAATATATATATATATTAAAACTGGACAGTTATGAAGAGAACGTTGAAAAAACTTACAACACCTGAACAAATATCGTGCCTACTTGGTATTCTCTAAGTTGAATCTATTTAGCTTGAGACCATAGAATGTCACTAGTTGATGCGCTTTTACATACTGTGATCACAAACTGTATGAATCCCTCATATACTAAGCGGAAAGTTAGACGGAAATAACATCAAGGAGGAGAGACTGTATTGAATTCTATCGAATAAGGAAAATATTGAATAATAAGGTGCAAATAATCAGTCAGTTAGTTCAAACGTACAAAATTTGCAATCGATAAGAGCGTTATAAGTTTTTAATGACCCAAGAAATCAATTTATGATATACAATGCAGTAGTATTCAACTACTGCAATTATAAACATAAATGCCTGATCTTAGACCAAGATCTCATGGTGACAAAGCTATTTACAAGGACAAAAAAATGCCAGGACAATTAATTATTAATACACTGATGCTTAAAAATAGTTATTATTATGAATTACCTTGTCTGTAAAGCCCAGTCAGAATAAGGTTCCCTAGAATATGAGTGCAATTTTGATCCAAAATCAGCTTCAACATTTCGTAAGAACCTTCTTTAGGGTATCCTCCGATGCTATTCATATGCGTAAAGCACACTATTATGTTGGAGAAAAATATTCGATAGACAAAAATAGGGAATATACCTTTGACACCCTCCAGATTGCCAGAATATGCGACTAAATAAAGTTCAAGCTGGAAAAAGTGTGATTCATACCTATCGATCTCAAAAACAATCCCATGAAATAGATGAACACCAACTTCATCAATATCATCCTGGTTCCAAAGGTAGCCAAACTTGTTTTCGCTAGCCAATGACCTAGAATCGAATTCATTCAAACACTACAGGGTATTAAATTCAAAGGCCCCAAGTAAAAGATTAATGATATCTGATTATCTACATCCTAAAGCACTGAACCGTTTATTATTTATTAATTAAATGCAATTCAAAGCATTAATGGCTATCCAGCTGTTCACAGATACTTCCAATCTTCGAGCTCGGATAAATAATCAGGTTATGTAGTAGCCAATGGAAGTTGTTTAAAAAAATTCAGTATCTTTATTCGACTGGACTCATTTTTTTGATAAGCCTAACATATTTGCTTTTCAGTACATAAACGTTTTGGATCAAAAATCTGAATCTCGTTTTTGCTTAGGATTGAGCACTCATTCAGGAGTTGTGAAAAAGTTACTTACCAGAATGGTTTAGGTTAAATCTGAAATTTTGGAGCACATTTTGTTTCTATTCCTTCATAGTTATTTTGCTATTTTGTGTATTTTCCTCTCTTAATTATCTCGTTTTTCACCTCTGAATCTCTCTTGTACAATGTCAAATAAAAAGGTTGCTAGCACATCATACAATATAACAACCAGTAAAACCTGCAGAGATACGAACCACGGGGTCAATAGTATGTTGAAAATACCAGGCTCGAGAGATAAGGTTGAGAAAAAACTGAAACCGTCACTCGAAAGCGCTCCTCAGAGTAGTGTTCACAGTCCTGATAACTCAACCCAAACACCTCCTTTAAGTCTCAGACAGACTCCCTATAATCCTATTCCTACAAAGACTAAAAGGCTAAAAAATGGGAGGAAAAGGAGTCAGTTCACGCTGTGTCTGTCATATGTATGGTCTGGAACTTGGTTTTTATGGTCGTTTCTGGTTCTTTGGCACAATGTCGCTCCGATCCTATAGTGAGCTACTTTTATGAAGATGACGCGATTGGTTTAGTGGAAACATTTTTTTATGATAACCATTTGTACCAGTGATTGTTTTACTGTACCTGGCTATTTAGTTGTACCAAAAACACACATTTTCCGTTGCCTTTGACCATGACCTTGCTCACGTACGCACGGCATTGTTGCCTGTTAACTTTGGCGCGATCTCGGTATTATTTTAATACCATGAGATCACCGACAAATATATACTAACCGCAATCCCCAGTTTTCCTTATGAGTCCCGTTCTACGGAGGGATTTAAACAGGTAATCGGTGCGTAATAGGCCTGTAGTGGAGATCATAGTCATCTGTGACTTGCGCCAATACAAACCCATCGCTACATGTCCTATCGTATACAAGCCGCTACATAATATGTTGTTGAGAATGCTTGAATATCCTGTGCTTATTAGTGATTCCCACAAGTTTGCTGTTTGTAATCCGTTAGTCAAGCCTGAACAATTCTCATCAAAACTTATTTGTCTGAAATCTAATTCTTTGTCTTATGCCAATGCAAGGTTTTATATTTATATCTTACAAAACGCCCAGTAACCGAAGTTGTATGATATACATGAGTATGGTATTTTCAGCGATATTGTTTTCTATAGGTGTGGTGTGTACTAATCACCAGGTGTTAAATATGCAGTATGTCGAGTAGAATTGCATAGAATTTATCACAAAAAACAAGTTACTAGGGGACTGAGTGAATTACAGTTATTTTATTGGTGCTCACAAAAGTCACAAGACCGATGCTATTTCTGACAACCAGAGAAACCATTATTAGATGTAAACGGGATGCTCACACAATGTAGGAGGTTGAAAGAAATATTCAAGTTTCTGTGGAAATGAAAAAATTGCAATCTGGTGGCGTTTGGAATAGGTGAAACCCGTTAAACGCAGGTTGGATGAAAAAGTTTAGCTTCAGATAAGATGCTGATGACTCACACACGCAAAGAGAAGCCCAAAACGCACTTGTAGGATCGGAATCTCGTGGACAGAAGATCATCAAATCATTCTTCGAGATAAAGAATGAGGGGATTCAAACGATTGCGATTCAGTGCTAAGCTCCCATCAATGATTACAACGGAAACGATAAGCATACATTCTGCGAGAGGTAACAGTCAATCATCGAGAAATGCCCTGCGCTCGATTTAGCCATTCTGAAAAGTTTTAATGAACAACGCCGAGTACGACGACCTTATGAGATAACATGGACTTGGAACCCTTAATGAAACGGTGAGAGATTCGCAAACCTGTGTACCGTCAAGAAAATGGCAGCATCATATTACCACACAAACGCGCGCACAAAGCTAGATAGATTTCACCAAATCACACTGCGGAGAACTAGATATATCAGACTTTCATCAACGAGTAGTTCGGATTAACCAAGTGGGATGGAAGAAAAAGATGAGGTGATATCATTCAGATCACCACTTGTTAGTAACCAAGATAAAAACTGAAACTAACGAAGCACTGAACAACTAAGCGAACAGCACCGAAAAAATTTAATACAGAGTTTATTCGGGATACTGGCAAGATCAACGAATCGACAATAGCTCTTAGCATTAAGTTCCAAGCCCTTCACGACCTACTCAGTGAAGAGGAAACTACCATGGAGAACTGGAAAGGGGTCGAAGAAGCAATAACTTCAACATATCACGAGTCTCTGATTCTCAAGAACCACCATCACAAAGCTCAAATAAGAGCAGAGAAAACCAAGGCGCAGTTCGAAAACACCGAAGCAAACAAGCAAGCGAAGTGGAGCATTTGAGCTAACAAACGTAAATATATGGAAGATGAAGCATTGATAGCATGACAAGCTACAAGACAAGGAAACATGTGACAACTACACCATAGAACGAAGAAGCCCACTGAAAAACACAGTAAATTAAAATGACCAATGAAGAACAAGGAGGACAAAGCAATCACTGACATTGAGCAACAGAGAAACAGGTGGGTGTGGCACGTTGGAGAACTCTTGAATAGACTAGTCCAATGAACCCACCCAACGTCGAAGCAGCATTTACAGATCTCGCAACTGGTGTTAACTCACCAGCAACTGATGAAGTCAGCATAGCCATCAGATAAATCAAGGGTAATAATGCAGCAGAACCAGACAACATACCAGCTGAAGCATTGAAAGTAGACATGGCAATACCTGCAAAGGTGATCCACTCTCTAGTCAGTAAGACTAAGGAGCACAGACAAGTACCAACAGACTAGGAAGAATGAGACACCTCATCACGATACTAAAGAAAGGAGATAGCAACAAGTGCGAGGACTACACTGTGTTACTCCACTACCAACAACAGCAATTGTCTTCTTTTGTGATCACAGTATATATGCATCCATTATTTTACACTCTTCAGTCTGATCCAATGTAGAAATTAAGAATGGCCAAATCATATGATTTGTACGTGTACACGAGAAATATATTTTCATTTACGTATAGTTAACGTTGATTTAGTCGTTTTCGTTGCGCATTAAGCAAATTACTAGTTGCGTAGGTGAACTGTTCCATCTGAAGTTTATATTATATGAAAGTTAGAAAATATAATATAAGTGGAATGGTTCAATCACCTTTGTTAACAATCTTTTTATCTTGAATAATAACAAATCAGTTATGTGTGTAGTTATAAACCTATCTACATTACGTTTATTGTCCTCAATTTTATTTGGAATTGAATATTGAAATGATTATCTTACAATAATTTATTTACACATTTTTGAAACCATGAATCGATCAATGTTAGACCACCATAAGAAACCTGGAAGCACTGGACGGCCGTTTCGTCCTGGTATGGGACTCCTCAGCAGTTCGCATCCACGACTCCTGCATCCCGCAGGATTCGAACCCAGGACCTTCGGTATAGTGCGCGAGCGCCCTAACCGTTAGACCACTGAACCGGCTTGTTCGATTCTTTTCTCTCCTCTACTACTTCCTCTACTACTACTTCCCTGATTAACTAGCTTCACTTTAATATCCACCATAACAATAGTTCTTGCTTGGTTATTCGCCCTGTCGGTGCGCTTTTCAACGTCGAATTCCATTATCATGCTAACTAACACTCTGATATGACTGATTATTCGATTCAACTAACTGAGATGAAAACTTTGGTAACAGAATAGGAAGAAAGAACAAATATAAATAAATTAGGAATGAGAACACCTAATCACGTTACCTGAGAAAACTATCGAAGGAAATGCGAAACATGCAGAGGTGTCAATCATCCCACAATTTAGGTATAGTTTTCGAAAAAAAACTGTTTCTGAACTGAATAGCTAATTCCGTGGACACAAAACCAAGATCAAAAAGCTGTATTCTCGTAAGTGCGATATTTACCGACCTAATGGCGACAATTAGGATGAATGTGGAACTAGTCACTATCCACAAAACTATTTTGATGCATTAAACTGAAAGATCATACATGAAGGACGGTTGAAATGATGGTTTCAAGTGAAGATCGGTGTCCGGTAAGGTTGATTACTCCCACTCTACCTCTGTCTCCCGGTAAACCACTGAATTCTGAAAACATCAACATATCAGTGGATGTACGCAATACATTGGACAGCTCAGATACAGCTGCACGATCTGAAATCTACAGATGATCTTACCCTTACATCCATCCAACACGCACCAACTAATACAGGAGAAGATGTACAATGAAACAACAACCTCTGCAACCATAGGTCTCGGCATACACATTGTAAAAAACAAAATCCTCCAAAACAACACAACAAGCATTAACCTAATCACACAGGACAAAGAAGCTTTAGAAGATGTGGAAACCTTGACATATCTGAGCAGCGTACTTCTTGAGCAACGTGGATATGATGTAGATACGAAGGCGCGGATCAGCAAAGCACGAGAGTTTAGTGAGTGAGTCAGGAAACCAGCTTGACTATGCCCACCACTAAATGTTCCATACGGTTGCGTGACGAAAAGGAGAACAAAATAAATTAATACTCCATGGTTTATTGAAGGAGAACGTTGGCGTTACATAGGGAGCAGCAAACGAAGAAACATGGCGGCAACGCGAAGAGAACGTTGCGCGCAAGAAGTAGTAG